GGGTTCAGGAAATGCTATTAAAGAATTAATTACATATATTCTGTAATATATCACTTGACCCCCCCCCCCGGATTTTCAAAAAGAAAAAACAATTACTAGATATGTTTGTTTGTTTTTAAGTTAAGCACAAGGCTACACAATGGGCTATCTGTGTTCTGCCCACCACGGGTATCAAAACCCGGATTCTAGCGTTGTAAGTCCGCAGACATACCGCTGTGCTACTGGGGGCTACTAGATATGTAAAATTATTCTTCTATGTTATTGAAAAATCATAAGGTATTTGTATTTCGATTTCATAATTTTTTCAAACTTGAGTTACTTGACCCTCCCTAATTCGTTAGTAAAGAGTAGTTCAAGAATTGACGGTGGGTGGTGTGCGTTTACTAACTGCTTTCCCTCTAGTCTATCGCTTCTAAATTAGGGGCAGATAGCCTTTGAATAGCTTTGCTCGAAATTCAATCAATAAACAAACCGGCCAGTTTTTCAGCAGAATGCTTTAGGGTTCATAAAGCAAAAAATTGCGTATTTCAATGGCCATAGTGGGTATTTTATAGCTTTGCACTTAACAACAAGAAAACTTAAATATTAAAAGAAAGTTAGCATCTTTTAAACGTAGATATTTTTAAGAATCGATTTCTAAAATCATTAAAATTAGATATTTAAATCCTTAAACTTTGTCATGTCGTATGGATTAACGAAGTATTGGAACGAATAATTACAAAACAGTTTTACGTACCCATGGAAACTAGAAATATCGGAATAACTTGTATGCACAGTTGCTGCATGAAATTTTACCTGTATCGTGGTATGGATAGAAAATATATTGTTGCGTCAGCGGGGTCACGTGACTATTGTCAAGCCGCCTATTTTCTAGAACTATCCTGTACCTTGGCGAATGCTCTAGCATTTACTAGATATAGGGTAGGCTGGTATATAAAAGAGGGTGACAACGTGACAGAATAATGTGTGTGTAAGTAGTGAGTAATTGATCTGCAGTCAGAGTACTGTTGAAGTTAACGTTCGTTATAGCGTTTGTTTTAGCGCGAATGTTGAAATTAAGTGTATCGTAAAGTTATATTCAGAAAGAATAAACCAGTTTTATTAAGTAAGGACTTGTGTCGCTAAAGTTTCGTTGGAACGAAGTTACGGAAAATTAATTAACAAACGGAGACGTAACAATATGATAAACTGCAACGGAAAATTCTTCATGGAAAGATCTGGAAAATTAGGGTTAATTAATTTAATACTAACGATAAAGTGTGAAATGGATTAAAATAGAAAAATATGGAACGTACATTTTTATTCCCTTCTGTTACTGATCCTTTAATACGAATATTTCTGGTATAATTAATAAAAGTTACGTTGGTTTTTCAAGCTTTTTTATAAATAGGCCTAGAATTCAGCAATCTATTCTTTTTTTAACAACAAGGTTAATAAAAAAATTAAATTTTATAAAGGCATGTAAGGATCGGTATATATGTAACATAGCTAGCTATGGAGATATGGGAAGTTTTCATGCTACAAAACGTATAGAAACAAGAAAGTCAAAACTAGCAAAAATAAAACAAATGTATCCCCACTTTGGCAAATCACTGTAATTTTGCACTCATATATATATACTGCTATTCTTTACCGTACAAGAAAGGAATAATTTGTACCCCAGACCTAGGAATTCTGTGAAATAAGTAGAGCGATAAGGTTCGTCATTTTTCCTGTACGCTTGTCTGGAAATGTCACTTACTTATTTAGATGAACATTTTTCAAATATTGACATTTTGATTCACTCCAGAAACACGTATATAGTTATTTAGGCGGCTTTATAATTATAACCAGCTTTTGCTTTGTTCAGCCAATACTGTAAAATAGTCATTGTCAATATTCAGACATTTTAAAGATGGTTTAAAACATGCTATTTTTATGGCCGCCATTTTGTTTCATCACGATCCTTACTATTAAGTACTACAGTACTATGATAATAAAACAACTCATTTTCTAGAAAATTAAATCTGTTTGGAAGCACATATCTTACACATAAATATGTTTATATTATGTTTGATATTAACAAGGACAGCCCAATATTTGCAACTCAAAATATTGTTACGACAGCGGAAGTCACGTGACGCTAGTAACACGTCATGAACTTCTAGAACGTTCATGTCCCTTCCTGAAGCCTTGAGAGGTTACTAGATATGCGGTATTCTTGTATATATAAGCCGCCAAGAAGTGACTGCAACAATGTAATGTAATTGAACTGCAGACAGAGATAGAGACGTACTGTTGGGTCGAGCGCGTGTGTTGTGAATTATAGTGTTTGTTATAGTGTGACTGTGGAAATTAAGTGTATTGCAAAGTTGTATTCAGAAAGAATAAACCAGTTTTATTTAAGAAATAACTTGTGTTCATCGGAAATAAATTATACAGGAAATTAACTA